TTTGAATACTTTGGGTACGTGGGAAATGATTCTTTTCACAATGGGTTTAACTCACTTGACAGAGATGTTTGTATATTTGTAATTCTATCTGATAAAATGTTTATGTGATTATATGGGTATGTGATTTAATTCCTAAGATATTGATTGAGTCTATGGGTTTCTAAAAGTCCTATTAGAAGAGCACTTGATCATTGTTGTTTCTAATTGGAGCTCTGGCAACGTCACGGGACAGTAATTATCTAGGAAGGAAATTCATATGTGTTTATGTAACTACGTGCTTATGTGGAGTGAATTACTGTTGTCCACTGCATTAGGACGCAAGTGAGTTAGTTACGACACATTTGTAAATGTGCTAATCTTTTTCGTCACCTTTATTAGGATTTTAGGACGTGGTCATGGTGGTAGGCCTAGACGACAGGAGGTGCCGACATCGGATGATATTCCGGCACAAGAGGAGGGAGTTGGTCAGGCTAATGTGACCGAACCAGTTGGTCAACAGGCCAAGGGCATCTTAGCCCGCAAAATGGCCGGATCATTGCAGGAATCCATAGACATTATCAGAGCTGAGAATCAAGTCCAGGCTCATGTTGCTAAGATGGGGCCAACTTTTTTAAAGCGAGAGTTTTTTCGATTGAACTCGGATAAGTTTTTGGGCTATCCTAAAGAGCCTTTGAAAACGGATGAATGGCTCGAACAAATGGTGAAGACGTTTGAGATGCTCGGCATCAAAGACGGTGCTCTGAGAGTGACCTTGACATCCTTCCAGTTGAAGGGAGATGCAGGTCAATGGTGGAAGTATGCGCGTAGGCGCATTGGAGTAACTTGGGAGGCTTTCGTTGATGCCTTCCAAGACAAGTTCTTACCTCCCACTGTTAGGAAGAAGTTGAGGGAGCAGTTCTTGCAGCTCAAGCAGTTTAATATGCCTGTAACCGAGTTTGAGGCAGCATTTACTAGCCTCTCTAGATTTGCATCAGAGTTAGTGGTGATGGAGGAGCACCGTTGTGTGGAGTTTGAGAAAAGGTTAAGGACCAAGCTTTTTGTCTGTGTCTGGTGGACACGTGGGTGTTAAATCTTGTACTCATACCAGTATACCTGTATACTGACCCGTTTTGTCTCTTGGCAACTCGGGTGCGTTCTGTTTGAGCGCAGCCGAGCTTCATTTGCAGGATTAGTTGAGGCTATGGTGGTGACCAGAAATAACTGTGATCGTAGGACATGTCGTTTGGACTTCTTTTATTTTCTTGAGCTTAGGGTTGATACTAATTTATGTATTTTTTTTTATATGGCTTTAGTATTGGAATAATTTGGCATGGTTTGTAACCGTACTTTATTTAAATTGTTTGGACTAGTTGTTGCTACTTTAATGTTGGAGGTATTTGATAGTTATGAAATTGTGGTGGATGATTTGGTTGGCGTTTAGTTTTTTTTTTTGTTTCACCCCTAGGATTTGGATGATGAAATATTGATTGGGGTTAGTTCTAATTTAATATTTAATTGTCCAAATTTTGGGGCGTGACACATGGAGCATTCCAATTTATCCAACACTTTTCCTATTCACTGAAAGCATCACACTGTTGAAGTATATTGTTGGCCCAATCGATCCAGCTTCACCCTCGGCCCATTTGTTTTTAGAAGTAGAATAGAAGGGATTGATAGTGAAGGAATTAATAGTGAGGAAATTGTTAATGAGGGAATTAAGTAAAATTGTATTTGTTAGTGAGGAGATTAATAAAATTGTGTTTGTTTTTATGATAGTTGTTAGTGTAGAGATTGTTAAATTATTACCCTATAAAAGAAATATAAAATATTATAATAAATAAAACTATGATTTTTACATAACAAAAAATTCAAAATATTAAACATTACTATTCAAAAAAATACCCAACATGTAAAAAATAAAAAAATAAATAAAAATACTAAGTCAGAGGACTAATTTCTAATACCAACTCTCCTACCTCCATCTCAATTCCCTCTCCATATCACATCCTAATCCGAAAGCCTATCTCAATCTCTTCTACATCTCTCAAAACAAACACAATATTAATAAATATCACATCAATCTCAACCCGAATCTCTCCTCCATCTATCAAATCCTACTACCATAAGCAATCTTGCCCTTTCTTTTTCAACCTACAGTTCACAGCCCCCCATCATCTTCTTCTCCAACCCATAACCAGAGTCACCCATCCCTTTCTCCACTTCCGCAAGTATTGTTATCCTCTTTCCTTTGTTGATCCACCACCATCTTCTCCACAACCTCACAACCACCTTATCTTCAACCATCTTCACTACCACACCCAGGTTTTCCACAAGTTTTCCTTTCTTTTCCTAACCCCACAACCATAGCTATTCATTTTTCCTCTTCTTCAAGCAACGCAAAGCCCCTTCGTTTTGCCCATCTACCATCGGCTTAGGGATGTAAATCTGGCCCGGCCCAGCCCAACCCAGCCCAGGCCATCCGGGCTCGGGTCGGCCCAGGCCTATGTCGAGCCTCGCGGGCTCCCGCCAAAATTTCGGGTTGGGCTGGTCCATGGGCCAAAAAACTAAGCCCAGGCCCAAGGGTATTCGAGCCTTAGGCGGGTCAGTAGACCAGGCCTCAGGCCCGCCCGGTAGGCTTGGGCCTAGCCTTGCGCTTGGGGCGGGCTTGGCTATTTTTTAAAAAAAAATTTTCTACCAAAAGTTTATTAGTTTCCACTAAAAACTACACTGGGCCTCGGGCGGGCCGGGCTTCGGGCGGGCCTTAAGCGGGCTTCGGGCTGGACCACGAGCCGAGCCAAGCAGGCTGGGCCTATGGGCCGAGTTGGGGCTTCAAAACGATAGCCCAGGTTCTAACCCAAGGGCTCGGGTCTGGGCCCAAGTGGGCTTAAACGGGCCGGGCCTATCTCGGGCTACGGGCAGGCTTCAGGCCGTCCACGAACCGCAGGCCATTTTTATACCCTTACATCGGCTCTATCCATAGCTACACATCTTCCACCGTCCTCAATAAATAGTAAGTGAAAAAAATAAAAATAAATAATAAATAAAAGACACAAATTTAATAAAAATGAATGAGAGACTGAGTAAGAGAGAGAACATGGAACAGAAATCGCAGACAGGCTGAGAATAAATGGTTCTAGTTAAATTAATGATTGATAAATGGTGATAATAATCTGGTGTGATTAATTTGAAATTTAGAATTAATATTAATTTAAAGGGCAAGTCTTAGAGTGTCACCTGTGCATGAAAAAATTTCTTCCGTTACACAACTTAACAGAGATTGACGGATAGTATAAGTTGCTGTTTGGCATTGATTTTTTTAGTTAGCTTTTTTGAATTGGGACTTTTTTAATTTGAAACTAAAATGTTTGTTTGGTTTGGCTTTTTAGATTATTTATTTTTGTGAGAAAAAAATGAAAGGACTATGGTTTGAATGTAATATTTTATCTTATTAGCTTATTTAGCTTATTTTGTCTTTTGTGTTTTTTTAGCCCAACTATGCCTCGTTTGAGAATAGACTTTTTCAGTAATTTTTTTGACTTTTTGACTAAAATATGATGTAAAAAAATTAATATATTTAGAAGGATTTTTTAGTTTTTTACGAAAAGATGTGTAAAAAATAGAGAGAAATGTGAATTTTAACTTTTTAGTATAAGTTATTGACTTTTTAATTTTTTTAGTGACTTCTAAACTTTTAGACTAAAAAGTAATGTTACCAAACGAGGTAAGTTAGCCAAACGAAGACTAATTGAAACCAATTTGAAAATTTAATATTTAAATTGAAAAACTTAAAAATTCAAGTATGATTTGTATCATGGATCAAATCTTGAGGTTTTTTTTTTTTTTTTATAATAATAATTTTCTTTTATAATTTTAATTTCATCAATAAATTTTTTTTCGTTGATAAAATAAATAAATAGATTAATTAATTTAACTCCTAGCCAAACCAACCACAACTAAGGCCTATTTTAAGAAGTGAGTTAAAAGTCACTTCCTAACTTTTAAACCAATTCCCTCTCTCACAAAAAAAAACTAAAAAAAGTCAAAAAATTACTTTTAACCATCTTCCAAAAACACCTCTAATTACTAGAACCAGGAAGCAAGGCCACTGTACTCTGAAAAAAAAAAAAAAAAACAGTTGTTTGCATACATACCAAAAAAAACAGTTGTTTACATAGATACCTTTTAAATTATTAAAAAAATATCATTTTGTCCTTCTCAATTATAAAAGCCTATGAATAGATTCCTTAAATTATTGATATGTATCGTTTTATTTCCTAAACTATAAAATCATACAAATTGACTTCCTAAACTATTGACGTGCATTACTTTAACCCTTTCCATTAAGGAATCCAATTAGTACTTTTATTTTATATAATTTATGAAATCTCTGTGTATATATATATCTATATATTTTTTTATAACTTGTGGGGTTAAAGTAGTACTTTTTAATAATTTAGAAGGTCTTTTTATATGTTTTTATAATTTTGGAAGTCAAAGTAATATTTTTTAATAATTTAAGGAGACGTGTAAATAACCCAAACAAAAACAAAAGAATAAATATGGGAACCTAGGCTTATCCACCCAAATTTTTTTGGATGGACAGTTATATAGTAAAGATTAAATTTATATATGTGAATCAAGATGATAATTATAAAAAAAATAAATAAATTGAAAAGTTAAATTTGAATTCATAATATTGTTGAAAATAAAAAGACACAAAACAAAAACAAAAACAAAGCACCTCAAACCTTCAATTTATCAAATTTTCTTTAATCCTTTCCACATTACAGGCATTGCTCTTTTGGGCCTTTTCAGAATCAGAAGATAGGTACTAGGTAGGCACCGTCAATAAAGGAAAATGTTTGAGGGCCCTAATTTCTGTGGCTCAAATGACTTAAATTTGCCAAAACGACGTCGTTTTGACAATTTTGATATTGTTTTGTACTCAAAACGACGTCGTTTTGACAAATTCGAACCATTTGAGCCACAAAAATTAGGGCCCTCTATCACTGTTGGTCAATAAAACTGGACAAAATGGATGCTTCAGATAGATATCCCACCAAAAAGGAAAGTTAAATCATCTCCAGGAGGCGTATATGGAACCCAGTATTTTGAGGGTACGGTCCCCCAAAAAACAAAAAACAAAAAAAGTTGGTATGAAATGGAGATGTACGGTGTTAGAGACCGTATAAACCTAATATATACCAAGTATTCTAAACCCAAAAATACGTGTATACTTCATGCTGCACGTTATGTGGGAACATCAGATCCAGGCCCGTAATTTAATCTCTCCATCTCCTCCCACACCAAATTGGATGCAACTTCATCACACTCCGGCACATATTCCTGCCACACAAAATAATTCAAATACGGCCCCCCAAATATATATATTACATTTTTTTTTACATTAAACTTTTCAATGTAATAAAGTAAATGTACAAATATGCAATTAGCTTTCAGTGTAATCTATTGTTTAACATATACTGTTTAACATATACGTGAGTAGTTAGGGACGGAACCAGGATTTCATCACCGGAGGGGCTAAAAGGGGAATAAAAATTTTCACCATATACATAACCATACATGTATGTACAATATGATATATAAATTAGATCTATACCCATTAAAAAAAATTCAAATACCATAGAAGTAATTTTTAATAAGATGAAAAAGTTTTTTTGGTGTAAAATAAACAGAGAATACAAGATAGGATAAGAATGAGATAAGAGGTCATTTTAGGTATAAAATGAGATATATAATTTTAAAATGTTATGACAAATCATATTTTTTATAAAAACAAGAGGGTCATGACCCCTTATACTTTTCTTCTAGTTCCGTCCTGTCCTGTGAGCCGTAAATCATTTCATTGACCTTTCAAGACAATTGAGTGTTAACAAAATATATCTACTTCACCGATATAAACCTATCAATGCAGGTTCGCCGACAACAACACTGAGCGAACAAAATTAAAATTCAGAACACTCAAAGTTAGAAATCAAAAGGCAAAATAGAAAAAGTTGTAGTTGATTAGTCTCATTCTAGGGACAATTCCATTCTAGGTTATATATACTTATAGTGGGTCATACTCTTTCTAATATATATAGGGAGCCTTTTAGTGCATATCTTTTGTTTAAATTAGTTCTAAAATTATGCCTGAGATTGTTCACTAGTGTGTTTGTCAAGTTATTTTACTTTATTAACTTATAGAATGAATCCATTCTATATATATAAATAGTACAAAAATATTTTGGAGCTTTAATTTGTGAGCTTTAATAGCTCTAATGTGTATATAAGGTCCATCTGATATGATATTTTGGTCTCGTTTATTTTATTTTATTTTTTTTTTGACTTTCTATCTCACTAGAGCTCAATTAGAACTTTAATTTTAAAGGAATGTATCACTGTTGTAAATAGTAGATATATACCTCAAGTTCTTTGACCAACTGTTTGGCTGTCGGAGCAGACACGATAATGCGACGTGCAGTTGGTGAGATAAAGCCTTCATCAACGGCCTTATCAAGGAAAGAGAGCAAGGAATTATAGTATCCTTCCACATTCAATAGACCCACCTGCATAAATAATCGCGTGTGATTAAATTAATGTCAAAGCATTACGTGACTAAAGCATAATACACTCACAAACAACCTTCTTTTGACCAACATTTCATTTTTTTCTTATTCCATTTAACTTTTCTTTTTTCTCCCATTCAAACGGAGATTCCCCAATCCAAACTCCAAATCATGTTTCATGATTCATGACTATGATTGAAACACCAAATCTTCAACTATCTTTCCATGTGAACCAATACAAGTACTCACATGCATTGATTCCAAACTTTACCACCTTTCTCATCCAATCTCCACTCGATAACAACAATTGACCAAAATCTCAGCAAATATGCTTTTTGAGTATATTGAACTTAAAAGAGATAAGACAATGTCTAGAAACACATGGCAACATACCATGTCAACACATTAGAATTTCAAACTTTATCTCAACGTATAAGTTACACTCAAAGGTGAAAATGGTAAATAGTAAGCGCCGAAAAAAGTGAAAAAAAATTGTAACTTGTTGAGTTTGTAATTAAGTCTTTTTTTCTATTTTCTAAGGAGATGATATTTTGCCATGATCTTGTCAATATATAAATTGTTTTATAACTGAGCAACATATTCCATTGTACAATGATTGCTATCCAATTTAAAAAGCATTGTTCTAGCAACCTTAGATAGTACTTGGTAGGTTTTCCTTACACATGTTATGAAACATAATAAAAGTGCATATAAAATTCAATTTGTTTCTATTGAAAACAATCTTTGATGTTATCATATAATTCATATTGTTAGAGAAGAGTACAAGGCAACTTTTTCTTCACTGAAGAAATGAGACCAGAGCAAGTGATTCTTACAGGTTTATGGTGGATTCCAAGTTGAGCCCAGGTAATTACTTCCAGCAATTCTTCTAGCGTGCCATAGCCACCTATTATTATACAATACTAATGCAATGAGCATTCATAGCTTTATGCAATGCGATAATTTTTGTTTCGACAAACAGAAATAAAATTTTATCTATATACCAGGAAGGGCAATGAAGGCATCAGCTTGATGGGCCATCTCGGCTTTCCTTTGATGCATATCAGATACTGCTCTTACTTCACCAATAGTTTCACCAGTTATCTGTTGACACTTCCACGTCAAAATAACTTCATAATAGCTTAGGCATAACATCTCAAGATTATACTATTAAGAATTTGCGGAAATCGATTATATTTATGGCTCCATATACAACAAATGGATTTTTACTGCCCCTTAAAATAATAATAATAAATTAATTAATTAAAAAAACCCCAATAAACAAGGGAAGAAAAAAAGGAACAAAGATGATAAGAAAATGAAATCGTGGACTAGATATCCCATGACAGGTAAAGATCAATTAAGATTTCTTGTTCCACATATAAGTTCAATTAAGATTTATTGTCACATTCTTAAAACATTTCACCTAACAATCCAAAAAGAGAAAGAGGAAAGGACATGGTTTGAAGTCACTTATTATACCTCTCTGGGCATGAGAGTCCTTGGAATAACTCTGCAAAACAACCCCACGAAAAACACAAATCAGTGACCTTCCAAAAATGAGGAAATGGGCTATGAATATATATACTGCATAAATAGTATGCAAAAACACACAACCAGAATGGATTGGAAAAATGAAATTCCACAATGCATGCCCTTCTTCGTTATTAAAGCATATTACAGTTCGGTGTACACGGAACGAATGGTCAATTCATCAGCTAAGTCATCCCTTCTTACAAAAACTGAGACATGAAAAAGCTAGCATGAACTCAGCTCATTCCATGAGCCCCTATTTTTAAGTAGGAAAAGTCTAGGAACACAAGGATTTCAAACACAGCCCTTGTTTGGCATGTTGGGTGGGGAGACTAGAAGGCTAAAATAGGCTAAAAACAAATAACATAAAATGTGATATTTAAATTATAATTATTTTATTTTTTCTGTCATAAAAGTGAAAAAGTCCAATATAAATGAGATTTTTTAGCCCAAATTATAATAGCAAAAAAAATCAAAAAAGCCAACTTACTTCCTAAACGAAGTCACAAATTACACAGATGTGACACATATATTCACATCTGCAACTAAGATGCGAACATTTTTTATTTCATATCTATAAATTTTGTGTTTGTATGTTTTTATGCATGTAGCACAACTCTTTTTAAGTTCGATATAAAAATCGATACACGAATCAATTAGAGATTGTGTACTTTTCTCAAATTTTAGTCCCAAAATTCTATGAAATCGATCCAGTTTGATTTTATAAGATTTAGGCCTCGTTTGGAAACAGACTAATTTAGTAATTTTTTGAATATTTGACTAAAATATGAGCTAAAAAAATTAGCATGTTTGGGATGATTTTTTAATTTTTTACGAAAAAATGTGCAAAAAGTAGAGAGAAAAATTTTTTTTTAATTTTTTTATATAAATTATTAATTTTTTGACTAATTTAATAATTTTTTAATTTTTTAACTAAAACTGATGATTTCCAAACGAGTGCTTAGTCTCTTTAATTGGAGCCTGTTGGTATGGAATTGTCAGTCAAGAATCTCAATGTCATAAATCACGAGTTACACATTAATAACTGTGAAATAATAATGCATCAGAAGAAGACAAGAACCTAGAGACCGAAAATTTGGCGGTGGAACTGTGGAAAGAGAACCATATGCTGATATAGCAGTTGTGACGTGTCATTACCTTAGATAGACCAATCATAAAGTGACAAATCAAAAAGAAAGATCCTTAACTTTGCCAAGTACAAAAATAAATAAATAAATAAAAATTTTAAAAAAAACATTAGAAAAAAAATGAGAAATAAGTATGCCATATAAGAGTTTTAGAGACTAGGATATGTTTGGTTTGGATTTATAAAGTGATTTTGGGAAAAATAAATTTAAAAAATTTGTTTGGTTTGTAAATTTTCTAAAATAATTTTCAAAATCACTCTCTCTCTTACCTATCAATCAATCACTTTTTTCTTTCTTTTCTCTTCTCTCCTTCTCAATTACTTTTTCTCTCACACACATCTACTCAGGGGTTGTTTGAGATGACCTAAATAAGTGTACTTTTTGTTTTTTTACGAAAAGATGTGTAGAAAAGTAGAGAGGTGATGTGATGGAAAAAGATAAAAAGTTAAAAAGATGGATTATTTTCAACTTCCCAAACTTAGCCTCAATTATAATAAAATATCAAATCATTCTAAACTCTTATGGTGTGTTTGGTTTGGGTTTGTAGAGTAATTTTTGAGATAAAAAGTACGAAAACTTGTTTGGTTTTGCCTTTTTTTATAAATGGTTTTGAAAAACTATTTTGGGGAGAGAGTTTTAAAAAAAAGTGATTGATTTGATGTGTATGAGAGAGAGAGTGTGATTTTGGAAAGTAGGTAACCAAACAAAATTTTGAGATTTTTTTTGAAAAAATTTGTTTGGTTTTGATTACTCTTAAAAATTTGTTTATAGAGAATTTTTTCCAAAATTTTTTTTGAAAAACAAACCAAACAAGACCTTAAACTCTAAAACTACTTTCAAAATACACAACCAAACAAACCAAAAAAAATTTTAAACTCTCTTTAAAACAATTTTTAAAAACTACTCTCTTAAAACCAAACGAAACATACTCTAAATTTTTTGGTCTCTAAAAAGACATTTAAGAATTAATTTCTATCGTCGTGAGGATAGTCGTTAAAAAGTCGCTTCGAAAACTAAAAGATAAGGTTTTTAGTGACAAAATTTTAAAAATGTCAATAATAAATAGATTTTTAGAGACAAAATAATTTAGTCTCAAAATAATTTATTTTTTAAAACAAAAAATTTGGTCACAAAAAGATAATAATTCATCACTAGTATCAAATTTTTGTTACTAAAAATATAATAATAACACTTTTCACAACAAAAAAATTTGATTCATAAAAAATAATTTTATCTCTAAATTTTGATCTATAAAATCTTAATTTTTTTGTTGTGGATCCTTACCCATTTTTAACGTTTCTTAACAATAAAAAGAAAAGGAACGGAAAGGAAAGGAAAAGAAAAGAAAAGAAAATGGCAAAATGTATTGAGGGGCAGAAAAGGTTTCATACTTTCTACAACATACTTTTTTCTCTCTTTTTCTAACTATAACTTTCAGTATGGACACTGACATTGCACAGACTAAAATGAATTCACTTTTAATAAACAAAACAAGTAAAGACACAATTTTAGATTTCTACTCTTCTACTGTAGACAAGATATACATGTCTTTTTATGTTTCAAAACCATGTTCACTCCAAGCAAAAGACTTGCACTTGTTTGCCACAAAAGAATAAGTCTATATTCACCCAAAAAAAAAATAAATTTATATGTACAGAAATAATTCACAGAATTAGGGGTGAGCAGCGGATATACCGATCCGCCAAAACCGACCGAACCGAACCAATCCGCCGCATTTTGGACGGATGCGTGATGATGAGCGGACGGTTGATTCACATCCATCCGCCAAACCGCCAATCCGCTTAATCCATATCCGTCGAATTGGCGGACGGATGCGGATTGATTTTCTTCAATCCGCCAATCTGACGGACGGATGGCGGATTAGAGGTTCCGTGGCCGCAACCGACCCGCGCCCACCCCTACACAGAATGGACAAGGTGAATACAGGTGTGTGGAACTCACATGTGGACACACCCCCTTATGAGAGATCTTTATCTTATTCTATAAATGATTTTTGTGTTCCTAGCATAGCCATCCTTCGATATTATAAGCATTAGCATTTGATCCCATGATGTGTGCCCTTGGGCAAAGTATGTATATATATATATATATATATTATATTACATAGGAAAAGATTATAATATACATTTTTCAAAAAATATGTATCATATGCATTGTTAAAAAAGAAAATAATATAATTTTATATTTTTTGAATCCTAATTAAAAAAATATAAATCATAACCAAATATCTCATGAGGTATAATTAAAGATTTATGAGTTATAACTAAAACAATGTTATAATAAAATAAAAAACACTGATCATAACAAAAAAAATAATAATAATAATAATAATAATAATATAATTAAGGATGCATGAAGTAAAGGTGTGATAAAATTCTACCATTAGAGTTGGTTTGAGATGTTCTAAAAAAGTACACTTTTTGACTTATTGACTTATATGGGTTGAGTTTGGGTTGGGTTTGATGTGTTAGAGAGATGATATGATTTGAATAAGATGATGTGACTTAAATAGGATAGTGACTTTTTGACTTTTTGTATTATTTAGGTTATGCCAAACTTGGCCTTATATATATAAGGGCATCTACACCAAACTTGTCAATTTTTTAGTCAAATTAAAATTATTTTATTATTTTAGCTAATTACATGTTAGTACCTACTGTATCAAACTCTTTATTCTAACATATTCTTATTAAATATTATTTTCTTATTATGTTTGTTAGTCTTTCTTTTTTTTATTAAATTGATAAGTTAACAGTAAAATAATTCTTTAAAACATAATTTCTTGTTGACCGATCAGACTTCCGGACAGACATCCGGTAATATACAAGTAGCATGAACAGTGTCTCACTTGCTGTAACGAGTTATTGTAATTATCGTAAATTTTGACGAATTGTAAGTGAATTTGAATTTGATAGAACTGATTTTTTAAAAATTTTAATAAAAAAATAATTTTAAAAAACTTGATGCAGATGCTTTGAGAAACCATTTGCTAAAAAATTGGAAACCTTACAAAGAGTCAAGGTGGGGGCGGAGGAAGGACAGTATATAGAAAAGAACGGATTTCATAGAAGCAAGGAAAGATGTGAATTATGAGGGAGAAATGATGGTAGCCTTGGGACACTACACATCTCTTACCTACATTCATTCAAACATGGGGGCTGGAGAGAGAGAGAGAGAGAGAAAGGGAGAGAATTACCCTAGAACGTGGCGCCCACCATCATGAACAGCCTGAGAAACAAGACCCATCAGACCCACACTCCCACCTCCATAGACCAAATCAATCCTCCTGTCCACCTTCAAAAAAAACACATCGAAAAAAACAAAACCCCATGAACACGTGTCAGAAACCCATCATCAGACAGTAAGTATTATTGTATAATTAATTAACAGCATAATAAAAACTTATAAAATAGAAAATGATTGAAAATTTTAATAAAAAATTCTAATAAATTTTAATGAAAGTGAAGCCTAATGTAATATGATAAGTTTTAATTTTATTTTTTATAATTTTTTTATTCCTTATTATATTATTAAAGTTTAATTAAAATTTTAAAATTAAAAGAATATATCATTATTGATATAAAATTAATCAACAATAATAAAAACCCTAAATGGAAGTTAGGGAGACCCTACAAAGCAATTGAGTTGAGGGTAATGTGAACATATAATAACATATACAATGAACATAAAAATATAAAATGATGGAAACTAAAGCCCTCTTCTTCATAAACAAACAAAATGAAAAAAAATCATGGAGGGGGAAGGGGGGTTGGTGATGGAGGGTGGTGGGAAGTGCCCAAGAAGAGAGAACACGCTTGAAGGAGAGCCATCATACCAAGGTGGCACGTTTGGTTCCCCCATCCATAGCCACTCTAATTTTTTTTATTTTTATTTTTTTTCAAATTTTAAAAGCCCCCCTTCTTCCCCAATAAAACTTACAATAAGATCATGCAAGAAGGCTGCTCTCAACTGACAGCCAGGTTACAGCTAGCAACTCTCTCTCTCTCTCATGCCAAACATAAACCCTAAAGTCTAAACCTTACGCTCCTAACTTCCCAACAATCATATTCCCACGTTCAAAGCTTTGTTTGTTGAGAGACTTGAGACCACCACTCCCCCGACCCACTGGAGACTTGAAAGAAACAGGAAAGAAAATGCACAAGAAAATAACTTTCCCCAGAAAGAAAATATCCAAAAGGAAATACGACAAAACTGCACTTTTGCAAAATGGCACTATGAGATACCGATTCCCAGGGAGGAAAACAACGATACAAACAAGATGAATTGAATCCCAGGACATATCAATGCCAATCCTTGATGGCTTTGTGAGAGACAGGCTTGAATTTTTTGTGAACGAAGTGAAGATAAGAATTGAAATGTCAAAACGGGTTTGAGATTACATTGTTTTTTATGAAAACATGAATTACAGAGAGAGAGAGAGAAAGAGAGGTTCACATTTACCAGTTCTTTCCCCAACTCAACAGCAGCTTCTTGGTAGCTAGCTTTCTTTCCAGAACTGCTTCCACAGAATACACAAATTCTCTTGAATCTTGATTTTGTCTCTTCCTCCATTGGTGTGGTGCCTGTCTCTCTCTCTCTCTCTTTTTCTCTCTCTGGAAATACAAACAATGATCTCCTTGAACAAAGGTAGAGAGGTATGGTTGAGAATGAAAACAAAGTGAGTCTTTGTTTACATATAAAAAGCCTCCACATGCGGACATCCACATTCAAGCCTCGCCCAATCACAAATCTGTCTCACTGATGCCGTGACCAAATAAATACTAGATTTATTTAATTCTATATATATATTGTATGTATATTCTTTCGGGTTATAAAGATTGACATTCTAATTTTAGAACTTTAAAAAGAATTCTAATAATATGATAAGGAGTGAGGTTCATATAAGATGTGATGTGTGTATTTATATTTTTTATTTTTTTTTGTCACATTACTAGAACTCTCTTTAGAGTTCTAAAATTAGAGTTCTCTATCATTGTTAGATTATAAATATGTAGATACACAACCCATATATATGTATAACATATGTATATAACATATATTATTTGGGAAACAACCACTATATGCATAGGGGTGTAAATCTGACCCGGTCCATGTTGGGGCTCGCAGGCTCCCGTAAAAATGCCGGTCGAGTTGGGCCGGTCCATGGGCCAAAAAATTAAGCCCAAACATAGGGGTACTCGGGCCTTGGGCGAATAGGCGAGCCCAATGGGCTTGAGCCTGGCCTCGGGCTTGGGCGGGCCTAACTCTTTTTTTTTTAAAAAAAAATTTTTATCAAAATTTTATTATCTTCCGTTAAAAAATACACTAGCCTCGGACGGGCCCTAAGTAGGCCTTAAGCGGATTGATGGATCGGGTCGGGTTTCAAAATGATGGCCCAAGCCTTGGCCTAGGGGCTCAAGCTGGGCTCTTGGCGCGAGTCATTTTTACATCCCATATATATGCATTAATATAGTACTTTTAATCTACCCATAATGAAGTGGAAGAGAGATACAGAAAGGAGTGTGGGTCAACCCCCTTCACATAGTCTATTAAATGTCATTAGGAATGGACAAATTATAAAATATTCTCGAAATATCACTTGTTTGTACTCTCTAATCAATATCATTCATTTTGACTTTCATGTTTTTCAATCACCCAATACAATGCCTCATCTGCTCACATTTTCTACCAATTACAATACTATGGAGTATTACGTGTCTATACTCCAGAATTAAATAATTACCCAATGAAATGGATAGGTGGTGCCAAATTAATACTCCTAAGCATTTTTCATTGGAAAAATTACAATTAAGTGGAAAGACTAAACAAAATTACTTATCAACTTTAATAATTGAAGTCATTTCACAATAATTTAAATTAATAATTTATTTATTTGTTACAAATTATTACATAATCTCTTTATTTATTTTTTATATATATCTTTCCATAAAAAATTATAAATTCACTAAATAAGCAAATTTTAAAGCACTCCCTAGTTTATGAGTCATTAATTTTACAGGAATGATATTTGTTATCTACAATAATATTAAAATAGTAATCACCTTGCTTGGTTTTCAATTTTTTAAAACATTTTTCAAAAAATTCTACTTTCTTATTTTCTGTATTTTTTTTATTTTTACTGAATTTTTTTAATATTTTAAGCAATTTTTTTACTTTTTAGACACACCTAACATAAATACGCCTAAAAAATAAAAAAATTGTAAAAAAAATCTTTTAAAAATTCACTAAATACCAAAAATATAAAAAAATACAAGAATTCAATACATTTTTTGTATTTTTATGTATTTATTAATTTTTTAAAATATTTTTTCACAAATTTTTTACTTTTTAAATACATCTAAGTAAGGTGCATCTAAAAAAGTAAAAAAAATGTTTAAAATTTAAAAAATATTCACTAAAAACAAAAAAACACAAAAACCAAAAAAGTCAATTTTCAAAAAACTTAATCCAAAAAACTTAAACTAAACACAGTGAATATTTTTTTTATTACTTATTTATTATTTAATATGACATATCTTAAAAGAATTTGGATCATAAGGCTAATTTTAAAGCTTTCAAGATAATAACCTCAAACTCTACTTTTTGGTGTGAAAAGAATAAAATAATTTTAAAGATTATGTTACTTCGATGTATCTGTCAATTTGTCCACATTACTTATGTGTCTACCTATTTATCCAAGTGTCATCTTTTTATCTAGTTATCTATCTATGTGTCATTTCATATTTGTTCACATGTTACCTCTTATTTGTTCACATATCACTTGTATGTCTACCAAATTTGTTTATTTGTCTAATCACCACCACCACTACCACCAGCAGTTGCCATTATCAGCAACTTTTCTGCCATTTTTCGAGTAACTTTTTCAACACCGACGTCAATCCAATTGTGTCTAGCATTAATCCAACGATAGTGGGGTAAAAATAAAAATAAAAAACTCAAAACAATAATTTGTCGTTTTACAAAACAATTTCATTAATCATATTCTTATTTCCATAAAAAATAACCAAACACCACATAATAACCAAAAAAATTCCCAATTATAATCAAAATAATAATCACAATATGTTATAACCAATATCATAATGATTCATAACTGACACTATAATAAATCATAAATAAGTCATAACTAATGCCACAATAATAAAAAAATCATAATTGTCATAACTGGGACATATGACACACACTCCAAAATAGGTAGTGTATTG